TGTTTGAGTATGTTGTGCGTAAAAAGGTTATCTGAAGGAAAGTCCTTTTTTACAAGTCCATGTATTTTCTGAATGCAGCCCAGTTCTCAATAGATCTCCTTCCTTGGTTATTGTGTCTGTGTGTATTTAAATGGAAGGACAAAGGTCAAAGCAGTCAAGCTTGTTTTTGGTTATGTATACAACCAGTCTGGCTTTGTGTGCCAGTAAACTCTGTGATTTTCTTTTTCTTAGGGCAAATACAACAACTCAGTCTCAGTGATTTTCACAACATTGGCCGTCTTGCTATTTACTTTATGCTGTAATTGACAGTCTCATAGCAGTTGGTGATGGCAGGGAGAAAGAACTTCCTTTTCATAGAAAAACATTGGCAGCAGTAGCAGGCTCAGGGTGGCTTTTTGCTTGTTGTGAGAATCAAGATTAAAAAGTGTAACCACTGTTGTGCAAACTGCATCAGCATCATTCCTGAAATATCTTCCTTATGAGAACAGATCTTTGCACAACAGAAACTGACACTCGAGGAGGAAATGGTATCGTGTATGTTGTGACCATAACAGCAGTGGCAGCTTTATAGGTGACGACACGATGAATGTCTCCTGAGAACTTTCCACCACTGTGGTAGCGATCAGACCCCCCTGACTCATCATGTGCTCTAGTGTTAAGCTCTAAAGACACACATGCAAAAGCGATATTTCCAAAATATGTAGGGCAAGAGAAGTGGCCTGAGGCGTCCTGCTACTGGAAGGAAAAGATGTGATCTGGTGTTCTTCACTTCCTGCCTTTGCTTTATAAGGATGTGTTATCTCTGAAAATCTGGATTCGCTCTGTGGTGTAGTGTCTTGCTATGATTGTAGGCTTTTCATAATGGACCAGAACCAGTGTCATCAATGTGATCTATCAACCCATAACATAGTAATGATTCAGTGATTGACTATTCTTCAGGCCTGCAAAGCTCATGAAAGCCAGAAGGTGGACGTTTCCCACATAAATCCGGTGATGTGAAACTCATCCAGTTTTAGTGGGTTTGTTTTTTCCTCAGTCATGGCAGCAGGGTGCTGGTGACACAAACTCAGGGTTGAGTTAGGACTTCCTAAAACAAGCAGAGCCCTCATGTTGTGCCTTAAAGGTCCATTATACTCGCCACATTGGTTGTGTTGTCTTAAACAGTGGCATTGCCATAATCAAAACTGGCCTAAATCAGCAGGTATAGGAGGAAGAGAAGAAGTCAAAACCTGAATTAAGGTCATTTTCCAGGAGGTGAGGAGGTTTTCAGAACTGTTATCTTTGTCTCTATAATTTGACTCTCTGATCTTTTGCACTGATATACCATTACAGTTACAATAAAAACCAACACGAAAACATACTCGTATCTTGAACCTGGCAGTGCCGCAGCAGCATAAAAGTAAGGTTACAAAAATCAAGAGGTGCATGACTGACCGCAATGACACCAAAGTATGGCTTGTGTAGTGCCGTTCACTCATTGTCAGTATGAAGAGTGTACTGGGCACATTCGCCTTTTTGCTTCCCTGCAGCCTTTAATTTAAAGTATAAAGAAAGAAGTAATGGATATAAAGCCAAAGCCGCAGTCTGAATGCAGGAAGGAGAGCTGTGTGTTTGTGTCCTGCTGCCAGGTCCTGTTTCTTATTCCCAGTTCATCCAGCTTTTGACAAGCTACTTGAGTAAGCTGTAGTTAGTGTGCCAAACACTTATCTGCTGTACTCGACCTGACACCAAGGCCCACTTTGTCACTACTTTTGTCACATGTCCTCCTTTAAACTACTGGCAGTATTTCATCATTACTTCATCTGTTCATCATTATCTCAGACAGCAGAGACGTTTTTTTAATGAAGTTTGGGAATGTTGTCTGTCCAAAATAGTACAGATGTATTCAGAGAGGCATTCATCTTACTTAAACTTGTTCAAAACCTTTAATGTGTTCTGATAGCTTCAAAAATTAAAGACAAAACCAAGTCGTAAAAGAAAATTTTGCCCTCTTTTTTTTGCTTTTTATGTGTCTAACATTTTCCAAAGCCACAGTTTGATTACTGCAAGATAAACATTTCCTACACTTTATGTCATTTGTTAGCAGAGGCCAGAAGGTTGACTGTTAGTTTGGTTAAAAAATAACTTTTTTCAGTTAATCTCAGAGAACCAAGGGTAAACAACTATTCTCATACTTCCTTATATTACACTAGCCACTGCATCCAAAGCGGAAACTCATAGTTGAAAGGTGACGTACTGCAATACTATTAGAGCAGTAAGAGAAACAATGCAGGTATGTTTGCAAAACATCGCTGACCTGTCACTGCAATAGTATTCCATCCCTTCTCGCAGTTTCCAGCTGAGATATCACTCGGTACTTCCATGCATGCAGTTAAAACCTCTGGCAACACTGGATTGGTCATTGTATTTGCGGAAGGAGATGCTTCCCTCCTGCCACTGAATATAATGGCTGTCAGATCTTGCTGTGTTTTTAATTTGCTGCTTTACTGCACTCTCATCCGTTGCCTTTCATCATCCCCCTTCTGTCGGGATCTTGATCGTCGGTCACCATGTGGGGGAAAAACTGAAGCACATACTATATGTCTACTATATCAAAAGCATTTTTCAGTCCAGCCTGGTCACCCTGACATCTTCTCTAGTGAAAAGACAGTGAGGGGTGTTAATTTGTATTCTTGTAGAGTTTGAAATCCTTTTTTAAAATTTACTGAATGGGTTTCCAGGAATTTATAATGCTTCAAACTCAAATTAAATAAATGTGTACAGCACTAAGAGTGAAGTAAAACAAAAGGATGTGATGAAGGCAAAATAGAATGCCATCGAATCGTAGTTTCATCTCGGTAATATTGTTTCAGCGATCAGTGAAATCCAAAATTGTAACTGATAATAAAATTACGTTACTCGCACACCAGCAATGAAGCAGTTCTGTAATGCAGGAAAAGGGATGTGCTGAAAGTCAAAATGTTGTTTTGTGTCAGTGGACATTAAGTGTGTGTGGTATAGACTGTGTGACGCATTGACACATTGTGGTTAAACATTGCAGCTCAGTTATTGCCTGTGTTATTATTAGCTATTGTGTTATTAGCTTTTAGATATTTGATCACATTCTTTGATAATGAATTATTTTTAAATGCCGCTGTAATCTGTGGCATTTGTATAACAGTCAATGTTAGATTTTTTGGGAATGTCTGAATTAAGGGATTACTTGCCAGTTTATTCTTACACAATAACATGCGGCCAGTTATTTTCTTGATCAAAGCAGCGAAAAACCACAATGGGTTAGCGTTGCTGTCGTCTGTCTGTCTTACCATCTCGCTTGTTTACAACTTTCTATCAGAAGAATAGAGGGGTGTTGCTGCACGCCTGGCTGTCGGTTGGGTGACTGCGTAACATCTGAAGACCAGCAGTTAACATTAATAAAATGCAAATAATTAGTTCAATTGTCTTGGAGTTATAAATTAACTCTGGGTTTTGTTTCCATTAGTGCTTCTTAACATTTGTGTTTTTCTTTATGTAAACTAGAACCTCTTTAAAAAAAAAACAACAAAACTTTTCAGCAACTTTTTATGGTGTCTTTAATCTAGAAACTCTGCTGAAGGTCTTAAAATTATGTAAATCAGCTGTTATTTTGCTGTCTCACTTTTTAAAAGTAACACTTAAGAGTTACCACCTTTCAGTACCCCCTCCTCTGATTGTCACAGTCAATTACACCCACGCAACCCTGCAGACCCCCATCGTTCTTAAATGGCAGCTGTAATCAACTAAAAACCTGTAATGACTCTCAGCAGGATGATTGATTGGAGGACTTCCTCATTTCTTTGATTACTTAGTGTGGCAGGAAGTTGAGATGGCAAGTGTGTGTCTTTACAGCGTCACACCTTGTTTCTACATGACGGGGTTGAACATTGATGTGCATCTTTAGCACATGAAATAAGTATTTTAGTCATTCTCCGCACACTTACACAAGCAGAAACACACACACAGTCTATGGACTCTCATTAGCATGGACTCCTGTTTCTGTTCAGTTATGCAAAGACACATTCAAACAGACAAATTTGTACACACACACACACACAGCGTCTGAGAGATCTGTTAATAGGAGCCAGGCCATCTGCACTACTGTTAAACCTCTTTCTCTGCCTTATTAAAAAAGCTTATTATATCAAATGTTGGCAGGAGGATCCAAAGTCTTTCAGTTCCCAAATGTTTTCAGGGTTAGGACCCCAGATGGAAACATAATAAAAAATGGGCTCTACTTTGTAAGGATTTTAAATAAAGCATGAATTAGTTGCTGGAGAATATATTTTTCTATTAACAGATTAAAATAATAAATAAAATAATATTTTTTTTATAATAAATTCTATATATATAAAAAGCTTTCACTGCTGATTTACAGCTCTTGAATTACAGCATCTGCTTACCTTTACTGAACTAAAGTTGAGAGCAAGGTTCCCTGAAAAAAAAGAACTTGTTATTTTCACCTACTTTCCACCGTTTTTCCCCTGACCTCTGCTGTATGTTCCTTTCTTCTTTTTTTTAAACCTCATCGTACTCCATCATGTTTCCTACCAGATTGTTAGTGGATTACAGTTGACCTTCTGTCAGAAACATACTTCTCATACATCTAGGTCACCATACAGCCATCCACATGACTGGTAGCTCAATGACAGGTCGTTTAGTATGGCTTCAACCAATAATACTTCTTTTATTAACAATTAACTGAGGGTTTTATTGAATCGTCCATTGCCTGTCACAGTTTAGAGAGGCTAAACCTACCTTTGTCACTTGCATGCTTTTAGCTACAGCATACAGAGGAAACTTATACCTCATTTTCCCCACCAAATTACTAGTCCTAGTCCTAGCTTGCATGATTTAATGAAAAAGGTGTCTTTGGTGCAATTATTGCCCTGTGTTTCTTGAGGATACTAATTTCTAATGGGAGTCAAACCTCAATATGACTTCACAGATGTGGCCTTTCAGGAACTCTCAGCCAGTAAACAGCAGATCATCTGAAGAAAAAGAAGGTTAAGTCTCTGTGGAGTACTGCAGATAGCTGTGATGTCAGTTTGGATGCTCATCACCGATGCTATGAAGCAGCCCTGAGGATTTTATAGTACTCTTCTCAGCCTGGGACACAAACACAAACCCACAGAGTTTCAGGCAGTCTGGCAGCTGACCCTTTGCAGTGTGTTTGGCTGTTGTGTAACAGAGCAACGGCGAGGCCAGATTTTACACACTTAATTTGTGTCGCTGTCTGTTTTTCTTAACACTCTTCTATCCTGTTACCTTTGCCTTCAGTCAGATTCACCTGGGCCTCTTCAAAGCTCTGATTTGGCTGCTTCCACTTACCTATTTATGTTGATACACTGCAGTCTTACCTCTCACTAACATTTAAAACATTTAAAAGTAATAACATTAACCTGCGACTTGAAACATAAAAAGGCTTCCAGTAAAGCCATTGAGTAATTTAAAAAAAAAAAAATGCATTTCCAGTATAAGTTTTTTTCTTTTCTTCTTTCTATAAAAATCCCTATACACATTAAAAGAAGACTGAAAAATCATTACTTTTTTTACTCACAAATTAGGTGACTTAAATCCAATATTGCCATAAAGCTGTCAAGCTCATTAATTTAGAATAATTTGCAAAGGGTCTTTAACAGCCAGTGATTTCAGAGAGAGCTACTTTGCTATGAGACTTTTAGAGAGTGAATTTTGCTGTTTTTTTTGGAGGAGAAGGCATTCATAAACCTTCATAAACTCTGATGGTTGCATCATTACGACATAGTAAGCATCCTCTAATAATTAGTGCTAAGTACAGTAGAATTTCACTCATCAAACCTGGAGCACATTGTGTTCTAGTGTTTGTTATAGAATTTAATTAAAATGCTCCAAAAGGGACCAGCATCATAAGAGGTACAGCTCAGTTATTCAGAGACTTGGCTGCAGTTAGCTGCATTGGCCTGTGTTAGCCCCTATCAGTCAAAGAAGCTGTGTTCCTAATTTTAAGCCTCATCAGTATCCAATCTGATGCACTAAAAACCTTCACCTATTCTAAAGTTTTATGGATGATAACGTAAGCCTAAAATGAAGTCCCTTTTCATTGAAAAATGATACTGTGATTGTGTAGAGTCATAGCCAGAGTCGATACTGGTGACATGTCACCTCAGCATTAAAGACTGGTGCATCCACAGTTCTCACAAAGTCAGATGTCTAGTTTAGGAAAGTTGTGTGACAAGAATTTGATCAGAATTGTAGGAGTTGTGTTACATTTCACAGCCAAGATGCGAGTATTTGCAGCTTCCACATTGATGCAAAATCAGGCTTTTTTTAGTACAAGAGCTGCTCTCTGCCACATCATACTGTAGACTGATGAGCCATGAATGACTGAAGTTAGACACTGTAGAAATGCGACTCTCCCCGAAGTATAAATACTCTCCTTGATACTGACTTTCAGGGATAATCCAATGTAAACCATTGCTATTCTCTGTATTTCTTTGATTAGAGAGACAGATGAAACAGAAGACAGAGAGAGAGTGTGTGTGTGTGTGTGTTTGTTTGCACGCACTTCATGGAGCTTTTCTTAATCCCTCTGGGAGCTTCAATTGGATATCTTTGTGTTTCTGTGTGTGTTTGGTTATTATGTCAGCTGCGATGTCCTGTGCTGTGCAGAGCGGCATTATGGGAGGGCAGGTCAAGCGGCGTGTGTCGTGGAAGCGCAGGGAGAGCGAGCATCACTAAGCTGTGTGTGTGTGTGTGTGTGTGTGTGTGCTCTCTCTCTCTCTGTCCCTCCCTCCCTGTCTTTTTATGTAAGGATGTGTGAGTGAATTGGAGTTTGTGTATGTGCTTACAGAGTGACATTATCTGGTTTGCCACAGTGACATGTCAGTCAGAGAGTTGGTGAATAGGCAGGGGCGGCTGCTTTTCTCTGCACCATCACTGTTCTCATCAGCAACGCCGGCTACAACACTTATTCTTCTGCAGCGGCAACTCAGCTACAGGACAGTATGTACCCAGATGAGAATGAGACGGTAAGACTGCCGCTTTATGTGTGCATACACCGGCAGGGGGGATGCTCTTGAATAGAGAATTTTTGTAAAACTACATGCACGTTTTTTGCCTAGTCAGCATAGCCTGCAGTGTGTTATACTCTGTTGTACCAAAGTAATGTGTTGCGCAGTGATTAATGCTCGCACATATTACTAGCGCAATGAAACTCTTGATAAAGCATCAAGCTGTTTGGGTTGCAGGAAGCACACATGCCAGCAGGCACTGCTGCATTTACAGAGTCTGTTGCAAAGAGTAAATTGTCTTTAAGTGAAGTGCTGCCTGTTTTGAATGTCATCAGTCATGCTGCTGTATGTAGTGATTTAGTTATTTATTTAGTTTTATCTTGTTTATTCAAGGATCTATTTTCTTACAGTTATATGCATAATCATACATTCTCATTCACAGCTGTTTTTCTTTCCATTCACAAAGCAGGTGATCTTGCAGCTTTAGCTCACAAGCTTTGGGCAGATTTGTGTTTATTATCCATTCTCTTAGTGTGAGTGTTCACAGTAATCCATACCATTGATTAGTGAAAATCTAGCTGCTTTTTACTCCCACTGATCCAGTAAACTCAGTAGCCGGAAGGGACACAGGGGAGTTTCAGTCTTATCCTGAGATGTTGGAACTGATGGTGCCATGGGGCAGGATAGCTAAGAGGATGCGCTAAGCACTTGGTATGCTTCATTACATAAGCGCCAGCTACGTAACATTTGTTTGGACAGCTGGCTTGTGAGACGAGCTCAGGGCAGCAGTGATGATGGCAGAGAGGATAGGGAGGAGGGTGGCAGACAGGGCAGAGTATCCTGTGACATGTAATTCGATTATAGATGCGCTGTATTTTAGAATGATAGTTTAAAAAACAATGCTTAGTAAGAAAGTTATTAATCTTATGTTTTTAAATAAGAATCTTTGGCCATTTATTGATTGTCATGAGTAGTGGGTGATTTGGGTTGTTTTTGTTTTTTGTTTTTTTGTGCCCTAAACCTTTAATACAACATGCATACAAGACGCTCCAATCAGCAGCTAAGATTTATTTATTTTTTTCCCTTGTAACTGTAACATGCATTAAATGAATTCTCAGACCACAAATACTACAGCATATTTACCTATATGACAATAAATACCCCTCTAAAATGTCTCCTTTACTCGGTTTAAAGATGAACTTTCAGAAAATATTACAATTTTCACATTTAATGCAACATCCATTTAAAAACAGAGATGATGGAGAGCCTGAGGTTTGACAAGCAGTAATATTTGTGATCCAAACTATTTTTCTACTTTCACGTTTTCACTCACGTGTAGTCATGCTGGCATCGTTGCACCTAGAATAGCAGTGTATTTTATGAAGAAAAAATGAGAAAGTAAAAGCTTGCACTGCAGCTTTCACACTCTGCAGATCTATCCAGTGGACTTGCCAGTGGGTGGGTTCTGGTTGCCTGGCCACATGAAACTGTATACCTCTTCCACAACTGCAACATCAGATTATTATGTTAACATGGCACAGTTCCTAATTAGGGATATACCCAACTAAGCAAAAGGACGATTAAACGTTCGTGCCTTCTCACGTTGGCATCATAATAGTATTTATTGAAACTATACATAAATGATTCTCTATCTCTGTGAGGGGAGGGTTTAGTAAAGCAAAGTGTACAGTGAGACAGAACACACCTGTGACCGTTCTTTTAAAACGTCCTTTCCTTTATGTGATGATCAGTCATTTCCTAACCACCATGTATACCCGAGCAGCCACCGAACCGCAATGAGCCGCTACGGTATGTAATCTCTTGGTCCAATATAAATAAAGGTTTGCTTGTGGCCCTACCCATGTGTGCTTGTTTGGCCGAGAACTGCTTGCACTATTAATTTCTGACTTTCCAGTAGAGTGAACCACCTGTGTGTGCACTTTGCCCTCTGCCAAGCTCACAGTCAGAGATTATTAACTTGGCAGCATGGGAACATGATTTTATAGTTCTATACATCCAGCTTCAGTCGGGTTAATATAGCGTGGGTCTATGAGGAAATGTAGCCCTTGCATGCTATATTTAGGAGAAGTCCTAGAAATAAAGTGACTGTAAGAAATGTGAATTTTTTTTAAAGATAAACCAATTAGACTGATACAGAAATTTTATAGAAGTTTTATCATTTTATTTATTTTAATAACATCGAGTTTGTAGTTCACCACAGCTTCATTTCATAGCCCAGAATGGCAAAAGAATCAACATCCCTGCCTATAATCTTAAACAACGCGCATTTAGTTGCCGATTCACAGGTCTATAACTAAATAATGTCTGCCGTTGTCCTGTTTTTAAACCCTCCTCAAAGAAAGCTTCTAGGTGCAGGAGTTGTCAATAAGATGTGTTTATGGGCCTTTTCATCCTCTGCAATTTGTCAAAGTTGTGTCTTCGCTTTTCTAGATTTTATGTCTTTATTGCAATTTTTATAATAACTGTTTGCCAGATTTCCTTATTCACAGAACACACATATACAGTAGCTGTATATACAGTAGCTGTATATACAGTGCGTTTCTTCAGCTAAAGCTTAGATGCGGATAATGGAGTCAGACTTTAGTCTGTACCAACAAAGACCTACTTTCTCTTCAGAGTCTACAGTGGGTTTCTAATGTGTCAGTGGGACACTGTATTCTCGGCAAATGAGTTTCTTTTTCAACTCTTACACAAAGCTCCACAGTTGAGCCCCTGCTGATTGTTAACTGTCTTCTTACAGTCACCCTGGCTTGAACTTAAATGGCAAAGTGCTGGTGGCATCGGGTTCTTATTTTGTAGTTATATAAACCTTTGACAAATTCATGAAACAAGTTGGGACATGCACCTAGTATAATTTCTTCCCCACAAAAGGAAAAAGAGCATGCCTGCATGTTTCTTGAGGATGGGAATGCTTTTTTAGGCAGTCAACTGAAACACAGCCTGACAATGCTCTGTTTAACCACGTCAGTATGAAGGTTTGATGGAAAAAATGCTGTCTTACTAAAATGAAACCTGATCATTCAAATCTTAAAATAAAAATTTTAAAAATCTGCCAGAAGATGAATAGTTTTTTGGAGAAATTTAAAAATTTGGCTGTTTGAGGTTGACAAAGAAAGGATGGTTTAAAGAATAGCAGCTTAATAATAGCCAGACATCTTTTAGCTTATCAGTTCATCGTAATAGCCAGACTGCCGGTAAAGAGAAAATACTCTGTGCCTCTTCCTGGTTATCATGTACTTGAATTTCGACAGGTTCGAACATCTCTTCATAGCTCAAGGCCTCCTTATTTACCTGATGTATCTATGACAGGTTTAGGCATGTATTTGCTGAAATGCCTCGGCGTAGCTGAGTTAGCAGCTTGTAGCGTAGGCATAGTTGTCTGAGAGTTGCAGAGTTAGTAATTGAAATTCAGAGATCTTTTCTTGAAATCAGGCTTATCTGCTGTCATCAGACAGATGTGGTTCAGCAAGTTTCATTATTAAAGTGCAGTCCAAAGATTGATTAATTAATCCTGAATGATTTTATCTTGCACTTTGAAGCTAGGAACAAGTTAGAACTATGAAGGGCAACTGCATGGCTGGCTGACTGCTCAGATGACTGTGCTAGGTGTGTGTTGGTAACTCTTCCAGCATTCACAGTTTATACACAAGTTTTATACAGTTTTATACACATGCTCTGAACTTGAATTTCATGAATGTCGGCTTGCACATTTCTAAATAAACAATTTGTAAAGCATTTTACTTTGTATGTTGGATGTCCTGTTTAATTTTGCCTTAATAAAACATAAATGAACACACAGAATGAGTAGGGTCATTCTGGGGAGCTGGCTGCACACTGTCAGCTCTTCTCCTGCAGGATAAAAGCTCCTTAACTTCCTGTTTATACTGGGCTCCTGCAGTAATTCCATTTCAGATTAGATTAGTAGATTATTCTGGGAGACCTGTATGCGCTTCCCTCCTGCTTTTGCTCTTCCTGTCTTCAATAATAAGTACAAAGCAGATGTAATACACCAAAGCATCCATTGTATGTATAATGTTGTGCTTTTGTCCCTCAGAGAAAAACCAGTGAACCCCCTTTGTTTTTGTCAAACTGGTTTTGCTCGAGCAGGTTTTTGTGCCTTGCTCAGGTTAACTGTTTGAGAAGTCAGAGACGTGATCCACAGTTTTGTTCATTTGCATTCAAGACCTGTAATACAGGTTCAGCACCAGTGCTGGTATTCTGAGTAGAATAAAAAGGAGGAGTTTTTCGCCAAGGACAACTGGATTTTCCTATACACAAACCTTTTATCTGTGACTTCACAGAAGCTTGTCTTTGTCGACGGTTTGGCTCACTGTATTCAGGTGGTTATTAAAATGCAAGCTTAATCTGATTCTTGTAGTTCTTGCTCTACTTCACATTGTATTAGAGTAAGTGCATCAGGGAAGTGTCGAGCGGGACACTTAAATCTTTCCACTGTGCAAATCTCTGCAGCTTTGACTACCTGCATGGTTGGAGATAAAATGTGTGCAGACAGAAAAATGTTACTAAAAATACGATTCATTTTTACCCAGACTTGTAGTTGAGGGGCATAACAAAGACATATTTCTTTCCCCCCCAGAAGAAATCCCCAAAACATGTGAGAAAGAGATTCAGACTAAGGATGCACTGATATTTGCAACAGATATTAGTCCAATCCTGACTTAAAAAGCTGGATAAGGATTTCATGACAGTTAATTTCAGGTTAGTTCTACGTTTACTAAGACATTTGGCAGTAGTAGTGCACCAGTAGCTGAAGGCTGGCTAATAGCAAAGGCTAATCAGTTATGAGGTAATTTTTACTCACCACGTCGACAACTAGATAGTTGTTGCAAAGTGGAGACAATTCATCATGGTAATCAAGAGAACTGAGCTTTAAAGAACCCAACATTTAAAGAACCCGACATGTGATCTGTGATTGGGGTTAGGCACTAACTAACTGTGTAACATATTTTAGAATAATAATGTATTAAAAGTAAATT